CATATATATATATATATATATATATATATATATATAATTTTTTTTTCTTTGGAAAAAAGCCAAATACATATTTGAACCCATGATGAAAGTAAAAAGTTCCTTCAAACCATGTAGGACAAGTATAAAGCACAAGACCAATAGCCTAAAAATCAAGAAAAAATTCACTTATGCGAATGTCTTCTAATAGAAATAAGGACACTTGAACATAGAAAAATTATACATTCATAAGGCTTTATTTTCAAACAACCACATTGGCAGTTATGAGTACCATGGGGGAAAACGCGGAAGCAATCATTTGTATTTGACATTTTGTTACAATTACTTTCAAATAAAGCAAATCATAACCACCAAAAATCTACAAAATCTTCTAGTTACGTTCTAGCATCTAAAAATGAGTAATTTCTATCAATGGAACATCCCATCATTTATTGATCCTGTGATATTTAGAGGTTTTGTTTTAATATTTTATTAATTTTGAAGAAAAAAAAACAAGCAAGAGTTTTCCTAGGATAGAAAGGCTGAATGACTACATGATTGAAAGGTTTGGCGGATCAATTCCCGCTTAGACAGAATGGCCGATGGACTAAGGACCAGAGAAAGTTAGAAAACACGTAGAGGTAGATGTAAAATTATGGCTATTTTATTCTGCAAACAATAAACAAACGCATAAATCCAATTTCACTCAAAATCATAGCAAAAAAGCTATTTAAATAACAATATTTAAGAAAACAAATCTTTGGAGAGCGACTGTAACAAAACCCAGCATAATGATCATTAAATAAGATATACAGCAATCGTGTAACATCCAGCAATGGCTAGAAGGAAGAGTGGGCGTCCACCGTGATGTTCTAAAACCAAATATATTTCCACTAATTCCTTAGCATTAAGATATATATCTATCTATATATATATATATATGGAATTATATATATATATACATATATATATATATATATATGGAAATCGTGCATATAGAATTAGCTCAAAAAATAAGCAAAATGAATTTCTGACTTCTTGTTTCAGCAAGGCAAAAACATTACTATCACCTCATACTAAAGAAGCATTAACTCGATATATGAGTAGATATTCATGCACAAAAGATCCTTCACAAATTAATTAGCAAAAGCATCAACTTATAAGCTATAGTGAAAAAATGAGAAGAAAAGCTGTAACGCAAAAAATTTATTATCAATAGCCTGGCATTTATGGATAAATATAAATTCAAAAGCATGCAAATTAAAAATAACCATAATCAAGTCAAATTTATTGATTTAGGGGAAGTGAAGACTGCCTCAAATGTACCTGACTCGGTTTTGAAGCTTACTCCCACGAATCTGTAAGCAATAACAAACAAACATCAGCAGAAAGACAAAAAAATACCAATAAAATACAAAGATGTCTCAATAAAAACCAAATGATATAAGATTAAAATTTGAAATCAGACATGCAAATCAATAGAGAAATTTAATTATGCTAAATTTTGTTTCGGATTAATAAAGTAAATAAATTGAAGCTTGGTTGAATTAGACATGCTTAACTTCAAATGACTATATTTTACTTCAGAAACACTTACCAAAGATTAGGTTCATACTATCATTACCATCATTATCACCTAGTTCATTCGTTGTTCATGTTGCAAATTATTCACTAGGAAATGAAATATAGTACCGCTCAATACCCTACTTATTAAGAATTCATCCAGATTTTGTTCCATGTACTGCATGTTGCCTTCTATGGATGATCCAAGTTTGCCACCTCCTACAAACTCCGCAGAAGAAGACTTTTTGTCGGCCAAAAGAATTAAATATAATGCGAACTAATTTATCCCACAAAAAAATCAGCTCTTCATAAGGCAATCAAATGAAGTAGAACTAAACCACAAAGGAGTTGAATCAAAGAAATTTTTTCAAGACCTTTCAAAGCCATCTTTAGTCTCAAGCAAAATTCTCTTATTTTTTTAATATAATTATCATAATAAGTTGAATCAGCTTTTGAAATCACATAATGCCTGATTTTAAATGTTTTGTTAGGATTATACTTGACTTTAGGTGGGATAATGCTTAAATTTAAATTATTTGGCCTTAACTTTGTCAGCCTATTCTATAAATAAGAATTGATGGATTGTTTTAATTATTTAAATATTGATGAGTGAAATTATTTTTGAGTGGTTGAGTGTCCTATCACTCCAAGATCTGTGTGAAAGAGTTTTCCACTTTCCACTTTCAACGAGGGGCATCATAATGATAGTTAAATGTAGTAATCCCAAAAATGCAAATGATTGGAGATTGGTAGAAATGACAGATGGCAGCGTTGATGATGGCGGCCAATAAGTATGTGCTAGGAGGTGGTGGTGACTATGAACTGTGCATTAGCAATGAAAGTAAGGGGCGTCGTTAGCAAAAATGTAGAAGTTAAACAAGAGCAAGGTAGGTTGGTTAAATTATTGCGATACTAATAAACTGAGGGGAGGGGGGAGGAATGCTTGCCACATGTCTAGTATTTCGTTAACCGTCCATGGTTAGCATGTCATTTAATCAAGAGTTTTGAATGTTGATGAACCAAGAGTTGTAAATTGTTAAAAAAAATATGACTCAAAGATGCAGTATGTTAATGAATATCCCTAGTATAGAACATTAGCGTCATTTATATAGCTTGAAGTGGTTGGAACTTGTAAGCCATAGCTCATTCAAACAAAGAACATAAACTAGCCCAAAACATTAGTTTAATAAACTAGCTAAGGACATCAGTTTATTCAAACTTACTTCAATATTTAGGAGTGCATTGAGGCCATCCTCCAGTGAACCCAAAAAACAAGCATCCTAAAAACATATAATTAAATAAGGCAAAGAAAAACAAACATAAGAATTAGATTTTTAGAGACAATAGCAAAAGAAAAACATCAGAAATTGAACCCACCAAAGTACAGGGGACCCCACAAATGAGAAACCTCATGTCCACATCTTCATCATATATTTTAATAGCAGAAAATGTACCGGATATGTCTTCTTCTTCAACTGCTTCTCTTTCAGAAGGAGGTATAGCAATCTTGGGAGCATCCCCTAGAAGATGAGGCCCAAGCTTGCTAATAATTGTTTGGCTATTATCAGGCAACACATGGTTGTTTCTCACACAATAAAGTTGAAATGAAGCATTTGCAACTTGGAACGCATCCCAAGTGTGGCTACATGAACTGCAAAACAAAAACCCAACTTAAAACAGCATAGAGATTTACAGATGTTTTCTATTAAATTAATTCAATTAAAGACAACAATACCTTTGTACAACTGAAAACAATGCTTGGCGGAAAATGGAGGCTGCATAAGATGAAAAAGCATTCTTCCAATATATTACGTATGGAACTCCCTGGAATAAGTGCAAATATGCCATCTCATTAGCTGTTTTTTTAATGAAAATTTTGACGAACAGTTGAAGAATGGCTAAAGGACATTCTGCCAATATTTCGTATAGAAAGCTCTTGGGTGAATCAGAATACAACCCAAAAAAACATGGATGGTTTAAGTAGACAAACGATTAGTAAATATACAGCCCTAAAATATCATGCTGAATTAAGAAGCGAAGAAATTGCACTTACAACAAATATGTCATATGGAATTGAAAGTTTAACTACGTAGAAATCACTAGTGGCCATGTTGATTACGATGAAAACAAGAATGTGGGATGGATGAGAAATAAAACCAGGAAGGATAATGAAAATTAATTGTATGAAATGGAAATGGATAGTAGAAGTAGTTTCTAAGGATAATATTGAAGTTAAATATATATTAATAGTTTGGGCAAATAAATATGCAAATAAAGGATGTGATTCGAATCGATTAAAATGATTAGAAAGAAAATTCTAAAAAGGCAACATGTTTAAAATTCAGGCATAAAGGGTTGCTCAAAACATATTTACCATGTCTAGTAACACTGAAGCTAAAAAGCAGAAAAGAGGAATTCATAAAATTGACCCTAAATAGTTAGGATTAGGCTAATGATAATGACAATTAACAATGATGGCAAGTGTCAGTGATTTGGTTATGGTCAAAAAAAGATTAAAAAAATGGGATAAGAATAGTGTCACATAAAAGCTGCAACATATGATTAAATCATAAATCAAACAAGCACCTTCGCATAAAGTGCCTGTGCAATTTTTTCTGTTTCTGGAGCCTCCAAATAAACCTACATCAAAATTCAAACTAATAAGAAACAAACCAAAAAAAAAAGGTAGGTGCAATAAAATTAAGATCAAAATTACAACCATAAATGCATGCATCCTATCTATGATTTCCTTCACGCACACATCAAACAAATAAAAACAACTCTATCAGTGTATCCTATAAAAAATAAGATGGCCATGAAGAAAATTTTATATGGTTGACACTTCATGCATAGTTAATTAAATTCATTGAGTGAGAACCCACATAATAGCATATTATGCAGAAATCCACTATTGTAAGAACTTAGACTCATTGTAATGCCAGTATGCACAAGTACATAGTATAGGATAAACTCAAATAAAGGCACTATATATTACGCTATTACACTCCTGAAACAAGAAATCACTGTAAGATATAATTTTAGTCAGCACCACATTTTGCAACAAGCCTTAGAGTAGAAGAATGTAAAGAAAAGGAAACTAAAACAAGGTCCTCTTCTTAGAACCAAAAGAAGGTCCTCTTCTTCGCCAATCCATCTACTCCTTAACCCAACGAATGGCAAAATTGTCACTGAAATGACATAATTACCTGCAACATAAAAATGTAAACGAACAAATAAATAAATAAGAGCTTACAATTGTAGGAAAAGGAGGAGAAATAAGAGAGCTAAGAATTTGGGGTTCTGATAAGTCAACATTGCCCCACACGATCGAGCCAATTTTTTCCTCATCAACACAATGTTCCCCTTGAAAATATAATATATTGGCTTGCAAAGCTCTCTGCGTCCCCAGAAATCTATCAAATGTAGGGTTAGTTAGAGTATGGACCTGCATTCAGACAACAAAAAGGGTTTTTACTCATATAAATTAATTTGTAAAAATAAGATAATTTATATAGATATATATCAAACCCAAGTTAGTTTAGAAAAAGAAACATCTTTAAGCGATACCTCCAACCGGGCAGCTGAAACAAGCTCTGGAAATGGATAAGAAGCCCCGCTCCTCACCTCCTCCTTCCGTCCATCTACAAATTTGCCGCACAAAACTGCGAGGAGAGTACATTGCTGCTTCGGGAGACTTTGCAAATGAGACATATTATGAACACGCCGCTGATGAATAAGGACAGCCACCAAGAATTCGCAGTAATTAAATGAACAAAGCAATAAATATTTTAAGAACAATCACCACCAGCTGCATCCATAACATTGGTGAATTAGAACATTAAAACACATAGGGTGTATTCATTAACAAATCAAAACCCTAAACCCTCACAATCAAGCACACTGATAAATTTGCCCGAATATGAAAGAACAAATATTGCCAGAAATATTAAATTTTGCGACAGAAGAACTTACCAAAACGACGAATATTGAAAAGCATTGAGCGAGGCAGCGGAAATCAGAATCTCCCCGCAACCGATGCGCTCAGAGCAAATATGGAGAGGGGGAAGAAGGAGAAGAGTAAAAATAAGAAATAAGAGAAACAACTCCGAACGCACACAGTCTCTGCTTAAGAAGAATCAAGAAAATTTGGACTAGAAAGGTAAAAACTAGGGCAGACAAGATCAACAAACGAGGCCGTAAGCTTTTTTCTCCGCTCACGCGCAAGTAAAAACAAAAGTAAAGAAAGGGAAAAGGGATTGGAATTTGAAATAATAAAACCCAACCAAAAAAAATCTATCGATTTACAAAAGCGGAAATAGAAATCGACCTCAAACAAAACAAAAGGAAAACCATAATAAAAGAATCGAGAACAGTGAGGCGCATTACAGAGACCAAATGGCGGCACAATAAGGGAAAATGATGGGAATGAGAGACGCGAGAAGATTCGAAGAGCTGTAATTAGCATGGACATGTTAATCAAGACCTAAAAAAAAAGAACTACGATTATCACACGAGAAAAATTCAATTATCGAAAAACCGAAGCATCGATTTTGCAGACAGTTGGGATTGACGGAATGTAACAGAAAAATTGAATGGAATAAAAAGATAGACTTGGGTTGGTTGGGAGGGATAATCGCTGATTTCGGAGTCTGAAATTTTTTTTTTCCTTTTTAGGGGCGACCTTTTCTCCATCTGCCGATTAGATTCACGCAGGAAAGGCTTGCCTTGCGCGGAGCGCGATGCTCCCATCACTTTTTTTTTCTATTTATGAGTTCGTTGGATCGATTGATGCGGGCTGTTGCAGTTCAGTGACCGTTCAGTCTAGGCTGTGGTTAATTTTATAAATTACTAGGGCTGCAAAAAAGTTTGATGTCCCGAATTATTAGTGTTAGGTTCATCTTGGTGTTAGTGTTTGATTCATTCAATAAGTGAATACGGTGAACACAAACAATTTTATTTTTCATTCGGTTTATAAACGAACTAAGTACGAAAAGTTTTGATTCATTCAATAAGTGAATACGGTGAACACAAATAATTTTATTTTTCATTCGGTTTATAAACGAACCAAGTACGAAAAGTCATTTGTTCGATCGTGTTCGAATTATTATTATTTGAAATATAAAATAATTTAAAATAATTATATATAAAAAATTTATCATATTTTTAAAATAATTATATATCTAAAAATTTATTATATTTTAAAAAATTAAATCCTATAAACTCAGATTCACCTCTTAGCTTATATTAAATTCTATAATTTCGTATTTATCTTCAGGTTCGTCTCTTAGCTTAAATTTTCTTATATTTCTTTTAGATTTATTTAGTTACTTTGAATGAAACCTAGTTTTTTTAGAATGAAATCTCGCACATAGTCTCTAGATCTTAATTTTTTTATGGATGAGATACGATAATATGGTTTTATTGTGAGTCGTGCTTCGACTACAGGTTTAAGTTTTTGCAAGATTTCGAACAATTCGAACAATATAAACAAATTTGTATGATTTCGAACAATTTGAACATTTCAAACATATTTCAAACAAATCAAACTGAACACGAACAGTAACTTCACTAACAATTTCAAACACGAACATATTTCAAACACACGTAATTTCAAACGAACGGAACACGAGCACGACCTTTGTTCGTTCCTGTTCGATTCGTTTACACCCCTATAAATTACAAATTACAAATTTATTATTTATTTTTTAAATTAAGTTTTTATATATGAATCTTATTTTATAGTACGTAATTTAAAAAAAAATTAAATGCCTCAATTTAAAATTAATGACTTATTTTACATGTATTCTGTAACGAGTTCCCAGCTGGGGACTCATTAATTACTTGAGGACACTATTTGCTTGACATTTTATTGTTCCATGTTATGCATACATTGAGAGAAATTGTACAATTTTCATGATTAGATTCTATTTAATAAAGATGATAAAAATATTATACCATAATAAAAAAATGTCGGATCTTTGTCGTATGTCAAATGGTATCATGCTCGATTATAAATATGAGTGGAGCCAAATAGAATAGAGGAAGAAAGGGAGAGAGAAGAGAGAAAAGATAAATTAATTTTCAAGAAATCTCTTCATGGATTTAATTCTAAAGTTGCCCCCTTGGATGCCCCCCCCCCTTGGAAAACTAGTTTAATTGAGCTATGGATTTAATTCTAAAGTTGCCCCCTTGGATGCCCCCTTGGAAAACTAGTTTAATTGAGCTAAGGGGAGAGAATCTTATAAAGATTATAAAAAGACTTGATGGTAAAGTATGGTAAAAAAATAATTTGAATAAGGTTATATCCATGCTCAAATAGTAATTCTCTTTCATTTTAGATGAGGGTCAGAGTCAATGGTACATAATAGGCTAAATAATAGAATTATAAGGAAAATATGCAAGTACTCCATGTAGCTTGTTATAGATGAATTTAGCTAATAATTTTCCATTATATAGGGAATTTAGGAGAGTTTTGAAATGAGAGCACGTACATTTGACAAGTTCTTTTAGAGAACTCCCACTCATCATGCAAGTGTTATAGACAATTGTCTTAAGAATTAAGTGACTTCATAAGTCCAGTTTATTAAATAGCTAAGTAGCAACAAGCAAATATGATCTTTCTATTCGGCATGTTAGCAAGTTCTAGGTTCATTTGACTTCAAACTTTGAGAATCTTGAGTTATAAGAAGTATTGGTTTTTCTTATATTCAACAACTTACTAAAATTTGTTCAATTTCTCTTATTAACATGATCAAATTAACCATAATTAAGAATTCTACATATCAAATTCTTCTTTCTTGTTTCACTCATGAGATTTTGAGAAGAATAAAAGAATGGCCAATTGGATCTAATCTTAACATAATTTGTAGCACTAGATCTACATATCATTTAGATACTTGACAAATAACAAACAAGTAGATGATTGATGTTTCTAGATGTGGTTTAATCCTTCAATAATTTTTTTTACTTGTTCCCCAATTATTAAAAGTTTACTCGAAGATGTAAATATGTACCACACAATTCTTATGTATTTATATATTTTTACATGTAAAATTTCATTTTAACATTTACCACTTTACCTATACAAAATAATATGTGTTTAATTTTTTAAAAGTAAATAATGATATTGTTGACCTCAATTTTGGCCATCTCTTTTTTGGCCAAAAGTTTCATCCATTCCTCCTTGGGTTAATATTCCATAGAAAGCAAGTTTCAAGGCTTGAGAGGAGCTCGCTAATAATTAAAACCAAAAATAAATAAATAATAATATTTTTACCTCTCGGAATAACCAAGCTAAACAATGGCGTAATGATACACCTAAAATATATAGTCTTTTTTTCAAATTTTTAGACATATTTTTTGAGATATTGTGTTTTAATGAAAGGTATTTGTGTGTTTTTTTTTTCAGTTACAATCAAATGAATGAAAAATGGTAAAAGAAGTAAAAAAGGATCGAATCTGGAGCAAAAATAAAGAAGGAGCAAAAATGAACTGAGATGTCTAAGCGCCCAGGACTGATTCTTACGTGCCAATTATATAGAGAGAGCTGCGCCTAAGCGCCAGATAACTCGCGCTTAAGCGCTAGAAGTAGTTATTTGATGATTCGTTGAATTTGGACGAATTTTTTAGGAGGTGTTTGAAGCAACCCTTGGTTAAAACGTGGGAAATAGTTCATGGACACGAAAATTCATCTATTGGCTTTTGAAAGAAGGCAACTTCTAGAAGATTCATTTAATGAAGACACATTTCAAAGAGACTCTAAGGCAACCCTTGGATTTTTATTAAAGAAGGCGTGCATCAAAGGAAGAGGTCAGCCAATCATCATCCATCCATCCAAACTAACCGTAATGCCGTCGCCGCCCATCGCCGCTGTCACCGACCACCTTATTTATTTTATTTTAAGTTTTAGTTTGTATTGTGAGTGAAGGAAGAGAATTCAAAGGTACTTCAAGACATTTGACTAAGAGGATTTGAGATAAGTTTTTATCTTTGTGACTACATTTAGTTTTAACTTAGACGTTGTTTGTGTGCATGATTTCTACTTTTAAACTTAAGTGTGGTTGTGTTTTCTCCATGAATTCTAAGTAGTTTTCTTTATCTTTTTCCTTAAAATAATAAGTGATTAAGTATTGAAATGAAGTTGTGTGAAGTATTAAAATTTAATGTTGGAAGAAGTTAGACTTGTGATGATTTTACTTTATTCATCATTTACATGTAAACTTGATCAACTTGCATGTTAGAATCTGTTGTGAGAACATGTTAGATCTTGGATGGTGCTGTCTCAATCAGCTGTGATAGAATCACATGAGATTGTATGGATGAAAATGTAGTCCATATGGTTGAGTGCAAATAAATAGGGAAATAAAATTTTAAAGGTGTAGAATTAGAGGACTTTAGATTGACAGACTAATGTTGAGTGCAAATAAATAGGAAAATAAAATTTTAAAGGTGTAGAATTAGAGGACTTCAGATAGAGGAGGGAGAAGAGGGAACTATAGAGTGAGAGCTAGTATTTTCCATACTTAACTCGTCTTCAAGACTATTCAAACTATAGATTAGTCAATGTTCTTTATAGCATCTTTAGTAAGGGTAAAAAATATTATTGCTCATATTTGACAACATAATTAGAATACTTACACAACAAAGTAAGGGTAAAAAATATTATTGCTCCTATTTGAGAACATAATTAGAATACTTACACAACAAAATTCCTATATTTGTTATTGATTCATGATAAGGAAAAATATATTTTATTTATATTGTCTTTTTATTTATATTGTATATATTTTATTTATATTGTCTTCATCTTGCAAGTATTTAATTAAGTTAATTAGTTGCTTACTTTATTTTCAATTATAAAAAATTACAAAAAAAATCAAATTTTCATTTATATTATAGCTTCTAGAGTCGAAGTAAGAAAACTTTGCTAAGTAAAATTTTGTATTATAATTTCTCATGTTTTGTAAGTTGCATATTGTTAGTTATCCCCGTGGGTTCGATATTCGAGGCTTAATCAAAAAGTCTTATATTATTTGATAACGATACGTATACTTGCGTAGTATCTCATATTTAAATATTATAAATGTATTCTTGTTTGCTTCATAGTGAAGAATTTAACTAGTTTTTGCTTGAGATCAAGTTTTGACTTTGATGCAAAGTAGGAATCATTATTAAGGAAATTAAGCATACAGTCACATACATCGCATTTGACATCTATAACCGAAGGATCGGGATCAAGGTTTTGGCGCCATTGCCGAGATCATTACAAATTTTTTAAAGAAATTCTTAGAATGTAAAATTTAAATTTTAGGAAAACAATTTTCTATTTTTATAAAGTTTTATTTAAACTCTTAGATTTATTATAGGAATATTGTAGTGTAGTTTTTATATAAAATTCTTGTTTGTGTGTTTATTTTTTATTTGATGTGTTTTATAGTAATGTATGCGTAGTTCAGGTTCCACAGGACTTGTGCCCTATGATTATGAATTAGAAAGAACTATTAAAAAATTTTAAAAGTTACGAATTACTAAAAATCAAAATACTTAAAATTCTGAAAAATTTAGACCTTTAAGAGATTATGCAAACCTGCCGGTAGATAAACTTCATTGTAGTACTAAAAAATTCGTTGTAGTGGCTAATTCATTTGAACTTAAACCCGCTATTATCCAAATGGTATCAAATAATTAGTTTGGGGGAGCACCAATTGAAGATCCAAATTTACATATTACTAATTTGTTAGAATTGTGTGCTACATTAAAATATGATGGTGTATC